GGCCTGGAGAACGCCCTGCCGTCCTCCCGGGGTGAGAGTGGAGAGAGGCCGAAGGCCCTCTCCGGGGGTGTCTTACCGCCCCCAGCAAAGACTTCACAGCACCCCCCCCTCCTCCGTGCAGAGGGTAAACAGGGTCTGGGGCTGTTTTGTGTGCGTGTGTTTCTTTTCTTAAGGGGCTTTTGTACTCGCTGGAAAGAGAGAGAGAGAAAGAGAAAGAAAGAGAGAAAGCACCTCCCTTTCCAGGGGGATGACCACATAGAGACCCCTTTTTCTCCTCCACTCTCAGAATTGTGGGGGCGCCGGGTGGGCCATTCCGTGCAGAGGGTAAACAGGGTCTGGGGCTGTTTTGTGTGCGTGTGTTTCTTTTCTTAAGGGGCTTTTGTACTCGCTGGAAAGAGAGAGAGAGAAAGAGAAAGAAAGAGAGAAAGCACCTCCCTTTCCAGGGGGATGACCACATAGAGACCCCTTTTTCTCCTCCACTCTCAGAATTGTGGGGGCGCCGGGTGGGCCATGTGGGACCCATGCCTTCACCTCCACATCATGGACTGGCCCAGGACCGGGGCTTTGTGGTCACTTACTCTGATGGGCCCTGGGGTCATCTGAGCTCCTGTGAGTCCCAGGGATCCTGTAGCCAGGACTTCTGGCTCCTGCGTGACCACAGACTTTCACGAAGCTGGCCTGTGCGCGCTCTAGGTTAAAGACCCCTGACCTCGCCTGAGCCCCGGAAACCCAGGGCGGTGGCTGGTCACTGCTGGAGGCCTGTCTTCAGTTTGCTGTGCCAAGCGTCCTGGCCTCTTCCTAGGATTATTTAGACCCCAGTCCCCAAAGGGGAGCTGGATGTGGGGGTGCTTCCCCCCTTTTTTATTTAGTAAGATTCTTGCCATAGGGCACCTCCACTTAATAAAGACAGAGATGGTGAGAGGGAAAGCAAGAAATCACCCTGGAGAAGGGGTGGCCATGCCACAATCCCTTTTCCTCCATTCTCCTCTTGGGATTTTGAGCATGGATGCACAAAATGCATCTAACGTCATTTTTTGAGCTGCTAGGTCCGGGACTCAACGACCATGAGGGAATCCAGTGCCTTAACCACTGTGTCACCTGCGGGGGAGGGGAGTGCTTTTCTTTTAACGTTGGTGTCACATGGAGAGTGGGCAGCTGTTGGTGGAGAATTCAATGGTGCCATCTCATCCTGTCAAGGCAGGGGATGAGAATGGACCAGCCGATGGCATAATGGTTACCTCACTGGATCACAGTTCAAGTCCTGGACCTGGTGGTTTAAAACTCAGTTGGGCACGTGTGTATGGGTGTGGTCCTGAGAGGAGAATGGGAGAGAAGAAATTGCAATGTGGCCATCCCCCCCGGGGGTGATTTCTCCCTTTCTGACTCTCTGTCTCCCTGTCTCTCTAGCAAAAATCTCTAGAAAAAAAGTCCCCTTGGCTTTGAAGTGTCACTGAAAATGGAAATGATGCTGGGAGGGAAGTTGCTTCAACCCAACTCTTTTGCCTGTCAGTGCTTATCAGACCGTTCTAGCCATGAATTGATAGCAAGTTATTTAAACTCACTCGGGAGTTGAAAGCTGTCCTAGGCAAGGAATGGACAGACTGGCCCCTCCCTCTGGGCTTCTAACCCGAGCTTGGTGTCCTCCTAGGTCCACCTGCACCCTTTCCCATGATACCCACACACCTGTCAACATCCAGGTGCTGAAAAACCGGGGAATCTTTGGCCTCAATGAAGCCCAGCTGCGGATCCTGCTTCTGCAGAATGACCCGTGCCTTTTACCAGAGGTGAGTCACCAAGGAGCTGCCTCACTTCTTCTCATTTGGTACAAGTATGGGAGGCTTCAAAAAGTTTGTGCAGGGAACCAGCAGTTAGCGTAATGGCTATGTCGCTGGACTCCCACGTAGTCGACCGCGGTTCGTGTCCCGGACCCGGTGGCTTAAAACTCACGCCGGGCGCGTGTGCGTGCGTGCCCAAGATCCCGAGAGGAGAATGGAGGAGAAGGGATTGCGGCGTGACCATCGCCCCTGGGGGGTGATTTCTCACTTTCTGTCTCTATGTCTCTCTCTGTCTGTCTGGCGAGCGCACGCGCCCTACAGTGAAAATCTCTCAAAAAAAAAAAAAAAGTTTGTGCAAAAAAATAGAATTAAAATATGAGCTTATTTTGGTGCAAAGAATTTTGAATCGGGCCAGTTCCACACCGTGGTGTTAAGGGAGCCAGATCCCACATGACCAACTACTTGGTTGGAATCTGGCCCTGGTGGCTTAAAAATTCTATGTGTATGTGGGCGTGCCCCAGGTGTCACAGGATGGAGGAAGAGGAGTGCTCTGTGGCCACACCCCACCGCGGGTGCTTTCTCCCTTTCCCTTTTTGTCTCCCTGGCAATTTAAAAACAAAAACAAAAACAAAACAAAACTGAAAATCTGTGAATTGTTTTTTCATAACATGCATTTTCCATGAACTTTGGAAGACCCTTTGTGTTTTCCCTGACTTACCTTTTTTTTTCTTTAGATGTCAGTTGTAATTACTTTGAGCAACATCATTTAGTTTCAAATGCTTACAGAGTACCCATTATAGTTGCTGTAATGGTGAAACTGCATGTTTGCATTTCATACATAAAGAATTTTTTTTGGAACAAAATAGCAGGAATCTTAGGAGAGAATATTGCGAGACTGCCAATTAAAAGCAGAAATTTCTTTTCTTTTTTCTTTTAGAGTTTTTTTTGTTATAGAGTACATGTGCTTGCCAGAGAAACAGAGAGAGACAGAGAGACAGAAAGCAAGAAATCTCCCCCCAGGGGGGATGGCCACGCTGCAATCCCTTCTCCATTCTCCTCTCAGGATCTTGGGCACGCACACACACGTGCCTGGTGTGAGTTTAAGCCACTGGGTCCGGGACTCGAACCACAGTTGGCTACTTGGGAGTCCAGTGACATAGCCATTATGCCAACTGCTGGTCCCCCAAAAGCAGAAATTTCTAATCTAGCACAGTGGTTCTATCACAGACACGCTCCTGCTTCCAGAAGAGGGGTGGGAAGAAAGGAAGATTGTGGGAAAACAGGAAGAGTTTGTGATGGTGACTCTGTTTTAACTCTCAGGTATTTCTGATCTAGAAGGGAAGAAAGTCTCAAGGCTGGAGGTATGAGTGGGGGGCCCTTGGTACAGATGGCAGGGGCAGTTCTTGAGGCAGCAGAATACCAGAAAAGTGGTCCTGGAGTCAGTTTTAGGAACCAGGAGGTTTCTTCTTGGCATCCCCCTGCTTTTTGCTATCTTGTACTTTGAAGGCAGGTCTGGTATGCACGGTTGTGAGCCAGGTGTATTCCAGCCATGGTTGTCACCAGGAAATCTCACCTGCTGGAGCAGTGAGTGACAGGAAGGGTGAGGAGGAGCAGCGATGAGACGAGGTCCAGTCCTTCCTCTCAGGTGGAGGCCTTTTCATTCCATAGGACTTTCTGTGTTTTTGTTTGTTTTTAGCTTGCTGTAGAGCAAGTGCATTTGCTGGAGAAAAGCGAGAGAGCGAGCGAGAGCTCACTCCCCAGAAAAGATGGCCACACTGCAATCCCTTGTCCAGTCTCCTCTTTGGATTTGGGATGCACACACACCCGTTGTATTTTCAAGCTACTAGGTCCAGGAGTCGGCAGTGCAGTGGGCCGTGTGGGATCCGGAGCTTTAGCCACCATACCACCCGCTGGCCCAGAATCTTTTCTTTCTGGCTTCTACCTAGTGTTCTGGGCCCAGCCTCTTCTTGCTATATTAGACTATGCCCATGAGCAGCCAGTAGACTGGCTTCACCACGGGAGCCCACCTCTGACCCTGTCTGCTGGACTGGAGTATGTGTCATGTGGTTGCATTCCTGTGTATCATTTAATGTGCTCCTCCAGCCCCTGAGTATACTGTAAACTGATCTGGAACCTAGGTTTGAATTTTAAAAACAATGTATTTAATATAAAAATATTATTTTTTAATTTGCTATCAGACACGTGTGCTCACCAGATGGGTGAGGTGAGAAAGCAAGCTGCCAGCCCTGGGACTCAAACTGCAGTTGGCCACATGGGAATCCATCGCCTTAACCATCACACCACCTGCTGGCCCTCTAGGTTTGATTTTATAGCAAGAGTTTTACATCTGTACTAATGCATTGTTGGGATGACAAACATCCCTGTTTGCCTGGGACCGAGGGGTTTCTTAGGATATCTGACTTTCTCAGTGAAACCTGGACAGTTGTATTTCCTGCCTATCACATCAGGAGGCACGTGAGACCTTGTCATCATTCTGCGTGTGTGAAGTTGAGTGGTTTCAGGGTTAACAGCCTGCTCTTCCCATCCTCTTTATTAATAATTTCTCATCAGCATGGTCTTGGTTGTCTGGGGCAGACCCCGTTTATGTTAAGCGTCCCAATGAAAATATTAATAGTGCACCTTAAAGAGTGCCCTTGTCTGAATCCTGAGCTATACGTTTATGCTTCCAGTCAGGTTGGCTTCCTTGGAAGCAGAGGATGAGGCAGGGTTTCAGGTGCGTGAGGTTTACTGAGGTAGGAAAGCCCAGTAAGGCAGAGAAGGAAGCCAGAGAAGGAAACGCTACAAGCAGGGTAAAGTCTAGTCTTGGCTCTGTTCATGGGGGACAGTGGAAGGAAAATGGTACTGAAGAATCGTCCTAGCTTCCTAAGAAGGCCAGGGGCTGGTCTTTTGTGTTTCCGTAAGTCCCTCGTTGGCTACAGGTTTTGGGGGAGGAGGGCAGGCCAATTAAGGGTCTCCGTTAACCTTGTGATTTGAGTTCCAGTCCAACGGCTTGAAAAGAAAAACGTGCCTTGAAAAGAAAAGTATGCTGGGACTAGCATTTAGCGTAATGGCTGTGTCGCTCGGCTCCCACGTAGTCGACCTCGATTCGAGTCCTGGACCCGGTGGCTTAAACTCACGCTGGGTGCCCGTGCATGCATTCCCAAGGTCCCGAGAGGAGAATGGAGGAGAAGGGATTGTGGTGTGGCCATCCCCCCTGGGGGGTGATTTCTCGCTTTCTATCTCTCTGTCTCTCTCTGTCTTTCTGGTGAGCACACGCGCCCTATAGCGAAAACCTCTCCCCCCTCAAAAAAAGAAAGAAGAAAAAGAAAAGTGTGCAGGTGTGTGGAGAAGGAATTGCAAAGCAACCATGCCCCATTAGGTTTGCCTTCTCCCTCCCTCTTTCTCTCTCTAGCTAGTGTGTGAGTCCTCTGGCAATTAAAAAATATATATATATAGAGAGAGAGAGAGTGGAAATGCATATTGTAAATGCTTCTGCCTCGTCTCTGTGCCAGGTTTGTTTGCTCTATAACAGAGGTGAAGCCCTCTACGGCTACTGCAACCTCAAGGATAAATGCAACAAGTTTCACGTGTGCAAGTCCTTTGTCAAAGGAGAGTGTAAACTTCAGACCTGCAAAAAGTCCCATCAGCTCATTCAGGCTACTGCCTTGACGTTGCTGCAGGACCAAGAACTGAACATCCCAAGTCTCGTTAATTTTCAGATCATCTCTACCTACAAGCATATGAAGCTGCACAAGATGCTTGAAAATAAAGGTAGGAGTCTCCAAGACAGACACAGAATTACCAACAGTGTGGTGCTGAGATGCTTCACAGTTACAAAATAAGAATAGTGACTTGAAAGTTAAGTCTAGGAACAAAGCACTTCATTTATTAATTGTGGCTTTGTCCTTGGGAATGCTTAGGACAGTCACCATTTTATGAGGCAGAGCTGTGATTCTAACCAGCACTGCCAGCTAATGGAATCTGCCTGTTTGAGCACTGTGGCTCCCTAGTACGCTGGGGGTCAGGAGGTAGGTAGAACGGTCTTAGCTCCTGGTTAGGAGGAAGAGGAGAGACGTGCTGGTGACTGGGAAGGTGAAAATAACATAAGATGGCTTCATTTTATTAAATCAAATTGTAATTATTTTTCTTTTGAAATTTTTAAGTAATTTTCACATTACAGAAAAATTTGGGAAATGGAGACTAGAAATAAAATGACGTGAGATTCTACTAATTCTAATCCATAATGCTACCATTTATTATAAGCCCTTCAGTTCTGTTACTATACAAATATCAATCCAGGGAACCAGCAGTTAGCGTAATGGCTATGTCGCTGGACTCCCACGTAGTCGACCACGGTTCGTGTCCCGGACCCGGTGGCTTAAAAACTCACGCCGGGCGCGTGTGCGTGCATGCCCAAGATCCCGAGAGGAGAATGGAGGAGAAGGGATTGCGGCGTGACCATCCCCCCTGGGGGGTGATTTCTCGCTTTCTGTCTCTATGTCTCTCTCTCTCTGTCTGGCGAGCGCACGCACCCTACAGTGAAAATATCTCCAAAAAAAAAAAAAAATCAATCCAGTTGTACTTCAAGCGCACGTTAGATATGTTAAATTTTCACTTTGTAGGGCCAACAGATGGTGTGGTGCTAGAGGTGCTAGACTACCACTGGGCCAACCACGGTTCGATTCCCAGATCTAGCTGCTAGAGGGTCATACCGGGTACATGTGTGTGCATGCCCAGAGTCTCGAGAGGAGAGTGGAAGAGGGGGGATTATGACATGGCCATCTCCCCTGGGGAATGGTTTCTCACTGTCCCTCCCTCTGTTGCACTCTGGCAGGCACACACACCCAATAGGAAAAACCTAAAAAATAAAATAAAATAAAATTCACTTTTGTCCCACATTCTGTCTTCTCATGTTGCTGCATAGTCTTTTGGTCATTTAAAAGTATATGCCAAGTATAGTTTGGTGTTCTTTTCATCATAATGCATTCGGGTTTTTTCTTCTGTTAGTTTTACGTGCAGCTCAAACTCTGGGTGGGAAGCTTAGGAGAACCGCTGTTAGGAAAACCAGACTACCAGAAGGTTCCGTCTCAACATAGTGTGGAGTTTTCTCCCATTGGGATGTTAGCGGCAGTCTGAGTGGGTTTGGAGGCAGAGCAAGCACGGCATGATACCAGTGTCACAGGCTGATACTGAGTGGGTTTGGAGGCAGAGAAAGCACAGCACGGTACCAGTGTCACTCAGGAAATCCTGAGTGATGGTAGGGACCTTCCACTCTGTGCTGTGGTTAGGACCAGTCACTGTCTTCATCTGGCCTTGTTTAGTGAGCCTCTCCATAAAACAGTGCCTATCTGCTTGACTTTATACACACACACTCTCTTCAAGATTTCATGGAAAAATGAAATTTAGTGGGTTTATTTTGGTGCCCCCAAATTGAAATCAATGCATAGTTCTGTTGTACCGCGTATTTAGACAGCTTGTGGATATTGCATAAAATGACACACCTGTACATGGGACGCTCCATGAGACAGCAGGCAGACACTGCTCAGGAAAAGTCCATCCCTGTGGGGACTGCAGTTAGACCAGACCCTGTGGGAGAGCACTTCTCTCTCCCTCCACTCTGCCATATGCATGCACTCTACCATTACTACAAAGAAAAAAATAATAATAACTGCATGGATTTTAAATTTTCTTGCATCAAAATAAACTTGTACTTTTTTTTTTTTTTTTAAGTTTTTGCCTTAGGGCACATGTACTCACTAGAGAGTCAGAGAGGGAAAGTGAGAAATCACTCCCCAGTGTTGATGGCCATGCTACAATCTCTTTTCCTCTTGGGATTTTGGGAACACATGCACAGGTGCCCAGCATGATTTTCAAGCCTCCAGGTGCAGGACTTGAACTGCTCATGGCCATGTGGGTATCTAGCACCTTAACCACCATGTTACCTGCTGGTCCAATAAACATGTACTTTAATTCCGTTTTTCCATGAGCTTTTTGAAGTCCCCTCCTGTGTGTGTGTGTCTAATATAAAAAAATCCAGACGACATAAACTCCCAATCTGGGCTGTTGAGGATCTTGTCTGGTTAACTGGATTGATGGTCCCAACATAAGTTGAAACTAAAGAGTGTTAAATGGGTATCTTGGGGAAGCTTATCCTTTTCTTCTTTTTAGATGATTCTGCTGCCTCCACTGAGCGTTCACAGGGCCTTGAGAAACAAGGAGTCAAGGTAGCTGGGGCTGCAGAGGCCAGTTCTCTGGTTTCCGTCCCTGCTCAGTCTGCCAAGAAGCCCTGCTCAGGTAAACCTTAAAGAGTGTCAGTGAAATAAGAAGAACCTTGTTCAGCTTGGAAGATCTGAGAACACAGCTTCTGTCGTGCTTTGGTTTGTAACCCTTCAGTCACTTAGGAATTGTGGCCACAATACCTACCTCACAGTGTGTTGTGAGAAGGAAAGAAGGTGGAAAAAGAAGAAAATGTCAATTCAGGAGGATAAAATTGGGAACAGGTGCTTGGGACGAGGTTGGATGTTGAGCAAGCAAAGAGAAGGAAAACGTGAATGGAGCTGGGGCCTGCCTGGGGCAAATCGTGCCTGTAATTCCTGATCTCTCTCAGGCCAGGTGGATGGAGCTCTGCAGGGCGGCTTTTTGCTGGCTTCTGTGGTCCGGCCAGTGTATTTCTGTATGCCCATAAACACAGTTTATATTGTGGTATCATAGAGCATTACAGTTCGTATATGACATTTTTAAAATTAACCTAATGTTGTCTTTGTTCACATTTATCATATGTGATCATTTTCCCCCCACAGGATTATTAGTATATATCATAGTTTACTTAACCAGCTCCCCCTTATAAGGGGGTATTTTAGTTCTTTCTAACTTAGAATATAGCTGTTCTCATAAAATCTACACAATTATGACATTTGAAAGCTATTCTTCTTAGCTCATGGGTGCTAAATGATACGACTTTTATTTTGCATTTAAAAATATGCATGTGAATGAATATTCTCTGTGTATATTCTATATGGCTTCATTTTGTCATGTTATATTATACATAGCCCTTCTCTGTGCTGATGTGGGATGGCCTTTCACGGGTTCCTTACTTTTCATGAAAGATTGTCAACCATTCTGAGCCCAGGTCACAGCCAGCTTCGGTAGATCCATCCTCAGGCAGCACCAGAATATGCAACACTTGGATTCTCCACCAGCAGTTTCTACCTCACTTTGTCTGCTTTTTATTCCTTAGTGAACTTCTACTGAAGCCCAGGCTGTAGTTTGAAGGGTGGGTAGTTCCTCCGTTCCTCTAGGTTACGTCTGTTCTTTCCATGGTCAGGAGGCCATCAGAACTGGTATACCTCACTCATTTCATGAAGTTCCGCTTTTTCCCTTCTCCCTTCCTGTCCGCCCCCACCCACCTAGCTGTCATCGAGTTGCATTTAAATGTTTTATTCTTTGATTTCATCAAGAGGTGCCACAAAGAAACAACTTTATGAAATCCTTTGCTGTGTTCGATGTAGGAATATTTCCAGATTCTGTAAAGGGTTTTGGTTTGTTTCTTTAAATGTAACTGCAACAACATAATATTTGAGAAACAGGGAGAATGCAGTGAACATTCATAAGGCTAAAATTATTTAAAGAAATGTTTAATCATCAAATGTTATCATCAAATGTTATCTTTTCTATTGGGAACGAATGCAAAAAAAGTCTTTTTAAAAATGAGAAATTACTGTATTTTCTCCAAATGGACACTAAGAATCATGCAATTCATGTTCATCTTTTTACTTTGGTCATCAACTGCAATATTTCTGAAAGCCTTTCTGCTATTTTGCTTTCTTTTTTCTAGTTCCAATTTCTCCTGGTGCTAATTTTTTAAAAAAATATATTTTTACACTTTATTATTATTTATGCATCTTACTCTGTGTATTTTTGTCGTAAGCTATCTTAAATCCTTAGTGGGAATAGCAGCGGGTATAAATGCGTATCCTTTACATTGATTGTCTTGGACTTTTGCATTATTGTGTTCTTTATATATATCTTAGTATCATGCTTTTATGTATGAAGTTATTGGCTTTCTGTAATCGTTATTGCAATATTTTATTTAATTCTATAATATCCCATTTGAATCTTAGTTCTGTTGGTTTTATTCATTCTGCAAAAATCTTACCTCGTCATATCTTTCTCTTATTTCCACTTCATGATTCAGCTGTTAGAGTACTGTCAGATTGTCGTCGGAGATAAGTTTCTTTGGTTTTATTGGAGCTTATAAGATAAAGCTGCGTATTGATGGGCGTTGCAAATTCAACCTATCCTAAGTAGAGTTATCAGTTTTTCTCCAGTCTTATTTTTCTTTTGTTTTCTTACTTTTTTTTGGAGAGGTTTTTGTTATAGGGCGCGTGCGCTCGCCAGAAAGACAGAGAGAGACAGAGATACAGAAAGCAAGAAATCACCCCCACCCCCACCCCAAGGGGGATGGCCACGCTGCAGTCCCTTCTCCTCCATTCTCCTCTCAGGATCTTGGGCATGCACACACATGCGCCCGGTGTGAGTTTAAGCCACCAGGTCTGGGACTCGAACCACGGTCGACAACATGGGAGTTCAGCGACATAGCCATTACACTAACTGCTGGTCCCATGTTTTCTTATTTTTGATTGTCACTGCCATCCACCTAAGGATGAGCCAGGAACTACAGTGTCTTATACTCTTCTTTCTCCTTGAACCCTGTGTCAAATTGGTTAGATTTTTTTCCTTTTTTTTTTTTTTGAGAGGTTTTTTTGCTATAGGGCGCGTGCGCTCGCCAGACAGACAGAGAGAGACAGAGAGATAGAAAGCAAGAAATCACCCCCCAGAGGGGATGGCCACACCGCAATCCCTTCTCCTCCATTCTCCTCTCGGGATCTTGGGCACACACTAGCTGTCATCGAGTTGCATTTAAATGTTTTATTCTTTGATTTCATCAAGAGGTGCCACAAAGAAACAACTTTATGAAATCCTTTGCTGTGTTCGATGTAGGAATATTTCCAGATTCTGTAAAGGGTTTTGGTTTGTTTCTTTAAATGTAACTGCAACAACATAATATTTGAGAAACAGGGAGAATGCAGTGAACATTCATAAGGCTAAAATTATTTAAAGAAATGTTTAATCATCAAATGTTATCATCAAATGTTATCTTTTCTATTGGGAACGAATGCAAAAAAAGTCTTTTTAAAAATGAGAAATTACTGTATTTTCTCCAAATGGACACTAAGAATCATGCAATTCATGTTCATCTTTTTACTTTGGTCATCAACTGCAATATTTCTGAAAGCCTTTCTGCTATTTTGCTTTCTTTTTTCTAGTTCCAATTTCTCCTGGTGCTAATTTTTTAAAAAAATATATTTTTACACTTTATTATTATTTATGCATCTTACTCTGTGTATTTTTGTCGTAAGCTATCTTAAATCCTTAGTGGGAATAGCAGCGGGTATAAATGCGTATCCTTTACATTGATTGTCTTGGACTTTTGCATTATTGTGTTCTTTATATATATCTTAGTATCATGCTTTTATGTATGAAGTTATTGGCTTTCTGTAATCGTTATTGCAATATTTTATTTAATTCTATAATATCCCATTTGAATCTTAGTTCTGTTGGTTTTATTCATTCTGCAAAAATCTTACCTCGTCATATCTTTCTCTTATTTCCACTTCATGATTCAGCTGTTAGAGTACTGTCAGATTGTCGTCGGAGATAAGTTTCTTTGGTTTTATTGGAGCTTATAAGATAAAGCTGCGTATTGATGGGCGTTGCAAATTCAACCTATCTTAAGTAGAGTTATCAGTTTTTCTCCAGTCTTATTTTTCTTTTGTTTTCTTACTTTTTTTTGGAGAGGTTTTTGTTATAGGGCGCGTGCGCTCGCCAGAAAGACAGAGAGAGACAGAGATACAGAAAGCAAGAAATCACCCCCACCCCCACCCCAAGGGGGATGGCCACGCTGCAGTCCCTTCTCCTCCATTCTCCTCTCAGGATCTTGGGCATGCACACACATGCGCCCGGTGTGAGTTTAAGCCACCAGGTCTGGGACTCGAACCACGGTCGACAACATGGGAGTTCAGCGACATAGCCATTACACTAACTGCTGGTCCCATGTTTTCTTATTTTTGATTGTCACTGCCATCCACCTAAGGATGAGCCAGGAACTACAGTGTCTTATACTCTTCTTTCTCCTTGAACCCTGTGTCAAATTGGTTAGATTTTTTTCCTTTTTTTTTTTTTGAGAGTTTTTTTTGCTATAGGGCGCGTGCGCTCGCCAGACAGACAGAGAGAGACAGAGAGATAGAAAGCAAGAAATCACCCCCCAGAGGGGATGGCCACACCGCAATCCCTTCTCCTCCATTTTCCTCTCGGGATCTTGGGCACACACGCACACACGCCTGGCGTGAGTTTTAAGCCACTGGATCTGGACGTGAACTGCGTCGACTACGTGGGAATCCAGCGACATAGCCATTACGCTGACTGCTGGTCCCTAGATTTTTTTCCTTTTAAAAACTTCAGTGGCACAGTGAAAGCACACTGAACCACAGTGCTGGAAGCCACGTGACTGACCAGGGGTTCGAATCCCCAGCCTGGTCAACCTGAAACGTACCAGGTGTATATGTGTTTGTGCCAAGAACCTGATGAGCTGGAGGGGTGAGGAAGGGAGACCCTGTTGAGAATGTTACTCTCTCTTTTTCTCATGCATGTACATATGCACACTTTATCATGAATAAAATAGACTTTAAGAAAACCAAAAATTTCTCAAATGTTTATCCTTCACTGCCCCTTTTTTCCATCCCCTGCACACTCCCTCGTTTCACACCCTCATCATCTCTTACATGTAGACCACAGATGCATTACTCATGGTTTTCAAGTTACAGGTTGTGGGAGTTTTTTGTAGGAGGTGCTGGGTTTTCTGTAAGAGGTGCTAGGTTTTCTGTAGGAGTTGCCCTGCCCCACTTCAATGATGGTAGCTTGATTTAATTTTTAGCATAATAGGCTTTTGTGGATTCTCTCAGTCTCCTTACCACCCTGCCCGCCTCCTGCCTTCCATTTGGTTGCCGACTCATGCTTTGAAAGCAGACCTAGTCATTCTGTTTTTTTCCTACTGAAACCTTTATTCATTCCTATTTTGTAGGGGCGGGGTCATGAACTCAGCTGTCTACAGGGACTGGAGTTAAATGGATGAAGTGGGTTGAATGCAAGAAAAATGGGGAAGGAAGTGTGTGGCAAATCGTGCCATCTGAAAGGGACACCTGCCTCTTGTTTCCTTGTGGGAATGTGGCCCAGTTTTTAGAGAAGCCAGAAATTTTTATGGGAAATTTTTTTCATTTTTAAATACTGACTTTTAATTGGGTTTTAAAAATGCCAACCAGTATCGTATTTGACCTACTTAGACTTTCTTTGGAATGTGCCGTTGTGTCTTGTGACAGTTCGTGAATGTTGGTCCCCCTTCTCTACGTGCTGTTCCTTCTTGCCTCTGCCCGCCTTAAGGCCCGGCACAGTGAGTCTTCAGATGCCAGGTGAGCCTTTCCCTGAGAGGCAGTGCTGGCGACCTCACAGTGCTGGCATGTCACCTTCCCCGTTACACTGTAGGGCACTGTGTTTTCATTCCCTGACTTTGAGCAATATTATTATTTTTCATTGTAATTCTAGCACTTGGCGGTTAAGACATATTTTGTTGCCATAAAATGAAATAAACTCTGTACTTGAGCCTGCGTGAGTCAGTATCCTACTGGTACCATGCCCCACCCCCTTGTTCCCACTTACAGTGTTTTCTTTTTTCTTGAGAGAATTTCGCTATAGGGCACATGTGCTTGCTAGAGAGACAGAGAGAGAAAGTGAGAAAAGATCCCCCAAGGGGAATGGACATGCCACCATCCCTTCTCTTCCGTTCTTCTCTCAGGATCTTGGGCATGCACACACATGTGCCCAGTGTGAGTTTCAGGCCACCAGGTCTAGGACTCGAACTGTGATCAGCCATGTGGGAGTTCAGCGTCTTAACTATCATGCCACCTGCTGGTCCCACATTTTTTTCTTTTCTAATTTGCTATAGGGTGAGTGTGCTCACTGGGGGTCGGAGTGAGAAGTCACCCTCAGGGGGTATGGCCACACAATTTCTTCTCCTCTCAGGATTTTGGGCAAGCAGGCACACACGCTCAGTGGCATGCCTAGTCAGGGACTTGAACTACCTAGTTGGCCATGTGGAATCTAGCTTTCTGAACAACCACACCACTGGCTGGCTTCATATTTTTTAATATTTAAAACTTTTTTTTCCCCTAAGGAATGTGTTATGTATGGTAAACAGCTTTTTGGTGCTCCAGGTTGAAAATTTTCTGAGTCTAAAATTTACTCTTTAAGAAATATGTTGGCCCAGTCATAGTGGTGCTCAGGTAACACCACTGCCTGGGGGGCTGGAGGGCATGGGGGGGGGCATGTTCCATTTCTGGGACACCCTGAACATACAGGGCAAGTTTTTGGGCCCCTGTAATCCTAATTGGGAGGCTTGGGTGGGAAGATGGAGACACAATGAGATTCTGCTAAAAATATCTGTTTTTTGTTGTTGTTGTTTTTTTTTTTTGAGACAGAGACAGGAAACGAGAAAATCCCCAGGGGGGATGGTCACGCCTCAATCCCTTCTTCTCTATTCTCCTCTTGGGATCTTGGGCACGCACGCACACGCGCCCGGCGTGCATTCTAAGCCACCGGGTCCGGGACGCGAACCGCGGTCGACTACGTGGGAGTCCAGCAACATAGCCATTACACTAACTGCTGATTCCCATCTGCTAAAAATATCTTGAGGCAGCCCGTGGCCTGGTTGGTAAGGTGGCTGGATCCCCCATGGTGGCTGCTTGATTCAAGTCCCAGACCCAGTGGTTTGAAAAACAGGCCAGATGGGACCAGCGGGTAGCATAATGGCTATGTCGCTGGACTCCCACGTAGTCAACCACGGTTTGCGTCCCAGACCCGGTGGCTTAAAACTCATGCCGGGCACATGTGCGTTTATGCCCAAGATCCTGAGAGGAGAATGGAGGAGAAGGGATTGTGGCATGGCCATCCCCCCTGGGGGGAGGATTTCTCGCTTTCTATCTCT